CTTTTCTCCATAGTATAAATTACTTTTCTGTTTTTCTGTACTATTTTCATTATGGTGTACTGATTGTATAGTGGAAATGTTAAAATGTCATAACCAATATTTATATATGAAATTGTTAAAATGTCATATTCAATACTCTAAGAGGTCTCAATAAATTTAAACCAAATTGATAATTATGGATTGTTCATAATAGCCCTATTGTCACTACCTAACAATTCAATATACATTTTTAAAAAAATTATAACTGCTCATAATAATATCATCAGGGAGCTATGAATTGGCTATTCTTCTGGTTTAATATTAGGTTTAACAGCTGGGCCAATACGCCATGGATCCCTCATACATAATACACATCAAGAGAACAATATACCTATGCTTTTTAAGTTTAATGCTCTGACTTAAATATAAAAAAAAATGTCACCACCTTTTGTCTTTATTTTCTAATAAAGGATTTTTTTTTTCTAAAGAAGTGCCTCTTTCTATGCTAGCAGCTTCCAAGTATCTGCAGAATGGTAAGAACTACATCATTCAATGAATATTCATATCAAAGAGATATTTATAACATTTTTCATGTCATTGCTCCTTTCTCCTTCCCCAACACACATTTTGAGAATTACAATGAATGCTTAAAATCCTGAAGGAACTACCTTCAATCTTTATACAGGAACTAAAAATACATTTTTAAACAACAGACTCTCAAATTAAAGGGAAAGAAATTAGAAATAAGCATTTGCAGGAGGAAATCACATTAGCATATTCAAAATAAAATAAAACAGAAAAGAAAGCTGGAAGTTAATAATTTGACTAAATAGGAAATATAAGAATATACATAAAAATAATACTCCTTGGTTTGGGAATAGGGATTTTGTCATTTGTTTGTTTGTTTTTAAAATTTATTTATTTATGCATATAAGAGCTGGGGTTTAGGCCAGAGTGTGTGTGTGGGGTGGGGGTGGGGTTTGTTGAGAGGATTCACCAGAGACAGGGTGGGGAGAAGAACAGGCAGATTCACTGAAATATACTGCTGAGGGGAGCAGTGGGCAAGACAGGAGAGGTCTGCTGTGCCAGATAGGTCAGCTCCCTGGCCAGGTCAAACACATGCTGCAGTGGCTGCTGATAGCTTGATAGTGCTAAGACTTAACCCCTTGAGCCACCAAGGAAGCCCATTTTGTCTTTTTTTCTTTATTGATCGTTTCCCTATCTCTAGAAAATTAGGTGAGGCGGGTAAGTCTAGAATGTCTGTTGAATGATTACATAAATGCATGATTACATAAATTCATGCATGTATGTCACCCAGAAAGCTTATCAAATCTCTCCCAATCATACAAAACACATCTGTGATCTTAAGTTCACTCAGGATGGAGTATCTTGAATGTGGAAATGGTTTGGATTCTAGCATAATATGCTATGTCCTCAATATCAAGGTAAAAAATACAAAATCTTAGCATTTAAATGTCCACAGGCTGACATGGGAAAACTACGTATATAAAAAACTGCAAGAGAGTAAGTGATGAGAATTACATGTAGGTATTATGGGACCACAGACTAACTGAAAATGCTATAAGTAAATTATAGCATTTCATCATTATCTATAAAGGTGAATGAAAGGACAAGATTACAAGTACTCAAAACAAAAGGAACAGCAATATCAACATTCTCAATGCTTTTGGAGAACAGTAAGTTATGGGTTTCAAACAGTTTAATCATAACCTGTGGCAAGAAGTACATTCAGTGAAACATATTTTATGAAACAATATCTACCTTTACTCATTTCATATATTTTATACTTTGTATTCTACTTCCTTTTTAAAAATGCCAGTGAAGATGTACTAAATCAATTTCAAGATCCATTTACTTGAAAAACATTGGTTTGAGGGCCTCCCTGGTGGCACAAGGGGTTAAGACGCAACCTATGAAGCTGTCCACAGCCTCTGCAGCATGAGTTCAATCACCGGCCTGGGAGCTACCCACATGATGCAGCAGACCTCTCCTGACTCACCCGCTTCTCCCCTCAGCAGTGGACTTCAATCTGCCTGTTCTGTTCCCCATTCTGTCTCTTGTGAGCCCTCTAACCCCCCACACCTCTGGCCTGTATCCCAGCTCTTGTAAGCATAAATAAAAAAAGCTTTAAAAAATTGGATTTGAACATTAAATAAATGTGATGAGTAGAAGATGAAAACACAGAGCCTCTCTGCCAACGCAGGTCTGATTCTGCTCCCAAACAGGCTTGCTGCTGAGTTGTTTGCTGCTGAGTTGCAATGCAAACAACTCTGGGTGGTAGAGAAGATAACAAGAGCAATCCTTTTCCATAGCGAGCCAAAGTGCAAGAAGAGAAGCTTGCCATATCTTCTCTACTTTGGGAATAATACTTTGGATTTACCATTATGAAATCTAAAAAGGGTAAGAGTATTTGAAAAACAACTCTCACATTTGGGAGCATCCTAAATTCAGTGTATATCTGGATTTATCTTAAAGTTTACCAGAGTCAGATGATCATAACAAACTACAAAGAGCTAAACTCTCTGCTCCTTCCTCTATAAGAATTAATTGTTTCAAAGTAGGCTTTATGGAAGATGAACTATTCAGCACTGTGTGTCAGGCTCTGTTGTGGCCTACAATAGTGGAGGAAACAGAAATCCAAGTCTCTTGGAGTTTATATTTTATAGAAAAAACAGACAAGGCATATACAGAAGTTTCTTAAGAGACCACAAGTATGTGAATTGAAATTGGTGGAGGAGGGCCTCCCTGATGGAGCAAGGGATTAAATACCGCACTATAAAACAATGCGCAGCCTCTGCAGCAGGAGTTGGATCCCCAGGCGGCCAAGGAGCAGCCCACATGGTGAGGCAGACCTCTCCTGTCTCGCCCGCTGCTCCCCTCAGCAGTGTATTTCAGTCAGTCTGCCTGTACTGATCCCCACTCTGTCTCTGGTGGATCCTCTGACAGCCACCCCCCACCCCGCATCTCTGTCCTGTGCCCCAGCTCTTGTATGCATAAATACATAAATCTTAAAAAAAAAAAAAAGAAAAGAAAAGAAATTGGTAGAGGAGTGAATACACTTAAAAGGGGAAGGAAAACATTTTGAGCAAGAAAAGAACTGGAGAAGTATAGTCACATATAAAGTGGCCACATTTGCAATTCTAATCCCATGTCCTGCTCTGGTCCTTTATGTTCTTAAAACAAGATATTAAGTGGGGCAGAAAGATGAATTTTTCTGAGGATTTTTAGCTTTAAATGGGTGAGTATCAGCAGGCCACTAAAAATGATAATTTAGTCAATGAAAACAAGGAAGTAAAATTTAACTAGGATCATTTCAGTGAGATTTCAACAGTGGTTCTCATTCTGGCTGCACATTCAAATTCCCTAGAGAGCTTTTAAAACTATATGCCCAGGCTCCATTGGAGTGGTTCTGATTTAATTAGTTCAAGGTGGGACACAGAGATAGGTATTTTTTAAAAGCTCCATAGAGGATTCTAATGAGCAGCCCGGATGGAGAAACCAGAGTTAGAAGTACATCTGAAGATGTCAAGTAACTAAGCCTATTCCATTAAATGGTGGATTAATAGAGGTGTGAAGAAAACTTTCCCCCAGACAAGGAAGACAGGCCCAATAGTTAAGCAGAGTTTGATACTACAAGAAAATAAATGTACATTTTCTTCAGTTTTTTTAAACTGAAAGAAAATGTTATTTTCACTGTACTTGTTAAGAAAACTCAGCTAGGCATCACACATGTTTTATTTCCATCATGAACAAGAAAAAGAGGGGAGATTAATAGCTGATACATGACTGAAAGAAAAACAGAAGAGGAAGAGAGAAGAGAGCAGCAATCTTGCCCAAATAAGGAGACGAATAAATGAGTTTCAGAGGGAAAGTGATCCCAAGGCATGAATGACTCAGTTATTTCTGGAGAAAGTAATTTCAATAGGTTACCAGAATATGCCAACAGTGGGTTTCATCGCAGCACACCGCCTTTGCTTTTCACTGTGTTCAGTCTGAGCCCTTGCAAAATTTAATTCTGGAAGGAGCAACAGAATTATCAGAACAGGACTGAACCAAGTAACTATTTTAGTAAAATAAAGACCAGAAACAAGTCTTTGACTGCAGTTCCTGCAGGTAGGGAAAGGGTAACTGAAGGCAAGAGTAATTATATAACTTGCTGTAGTGTCAAGAAGGGCACAGAGCAGGTTTTCTGTGATGGGACAGACACCGTAAAGGAGAGCTCTGGAGTCCTCAGTGGCTTTTTCAGGCTTTATTGAGCTTTTACATGTAGTGCAGCAACCAGGTACACCACAGGCAGGGCTGCCAGGGGCCCAGGAGGCCTCCAAGCCCCTGGCAAGTCTTCACTCTGGGCTTCTCTCTCTCTCTCTCTCCTGGCTTTCTTTCTCCCCTTCTCTCTCCTGCCTCTGTCCTGCTTCTGCTTCTCTTGGTGACTCTCAATACCCCCCCATGGCCCCCAGAAGTAAGTAACACACCTTACACCAATGTAACAACTGCAGGTGCCCCATCAGGCAGAGCAATCCTAACGGCGGGAGGGCAGAAAACCCTGAAAACCATTTACCCTTTCACATTTAACCATTTACACTCGCCCTACATCTTCAACCAACAGGGTCTCATTGGAATAGCTGCAATGACCTTAGGTTTCCCATTGCTAGGTTTTCACTTAGTTTTACCCACCCCTTCCTTGCACCCCAACTCCACTGACAACAAGAAAGTAAAACCTATGGTGCGATTTCTCAATCTCCACGCGTGGACAGTGTAAAGCCTTGCAACAGTTCAGGGAAGGTCAGCAAAAGGTGCTGCCCAGATAATGGTATGGAAAAACCAGGCAGTCAGGCAGCTGGACAAAGGCAGATTTTCAATCTCAGGCGGGTGTGTGCACGCCAAAAAGGGGCGAACGCGAAAAACAATTCCGACAAACGCAGGAGGGGGACCGCGCAGCGTCACAAAACACAGGTGGGACGAGCCTCCCAGGGCACAACAGGTGCGCGGCGCCGCCTCCCGCTGCGCCCGCCCGCCGGGCGTGGGAAGCAGGAAGTGCACTACAACTCCCAGAAGCCCCCGCGAAGCCGCGCAACGCCCGCCGGGAGCCGGCCCGAGCGCCCAAGATGTCGCTGCCCAAGAGAAGAAAGCTTGAGTCGGGGGGCGGCAGCGCAGGAGGGGAGGGCGCCGAGGAGGAAGATGGCGGAGAGCAGGAGGCCACCCAGGAGCGACCCCGGAGGACCAAGCGGGAGCGGGACCGGCTCTACTACGAGTGCTACTCGGACGTGTCGGTCCACGAGGAGATGATCGCCGACCGCGTCCGCACCGACGCCTACCGCCTGGCCATCCTGCGCAACTGGGCCGCGCTGCGGGGCAAGACGGTGCTGGACGTGGGCGCGGGCACCGGCATCCTCAGCATCTTCTGCGCCCAGGCCGGCGCCCGGCGGGTCTACGCGGTGGAGGCCAGTGCCATCTGGCAGCAGGCCCGGGAGGTGGTGCGGCTCAACGGGCTGGAGGACCGGGTGCACGTCCTGCCCGGCCCGGTGGAGACGGTGGAGCTGCCGGAGCAGGTGGACGCCATCGTGAGCGAGTGGATGGGCTACGGGCTCCTGCACGAGTCCATGCTGAGCTCTGTGCTGCACGCGCGGACCAAGTGGCTCAAGGAGGGCGGGCTGCTGCTGCCCGCCTCCGCCGAGCTCTTCGTGGCGCCCATCAGCGACCAGATGCTGGAGCTGCGCCTCGGCTTCTGGAGCCAGGTGAAGCAGAACTACGGGGTGGACATGAGCTGCCTGGAGAGCTTCGCCACGCGCTGCCTCATGGGCCGCTCGGAGATCATGGTGGAGAGCCTGTCCGGCGAGGATGTGCTGGCCCGGCCGCAGCGCTTTGCTCAGCTCGACCTGGCCCGCGCCGGCCTGGAGCAGGAGCTGGAGGCCGGGGTGGGCGGGCGCTTTCGCTTCAGTTGCTATGGCTCGGCGCCCATGCACGGCTTTGCAGTCTGGTTCCAGGTGACCTTCCCCGGAGGGGACTCGGAGAAACCCCTGGTGCTGTCCACCTCGCCTTTTCACCCCGTCACGCACTGGAAGCAGGCGCTCCTCTACCTGAACGAGCCTGTGCAGGTGGAGCAAGATACGGACATCTCCGGGGAGATCACCTTGCTGCCCTCTCGGGAGGACCACCGGCTCCTGCGCGTGCAGCTGCGCTACAGAGTGGGCGACCAGGAGGAAAAGACCAAAGACTTTGCCATGGAGGAGTGAGCGTGCCTTTTCTCCCAGCTCCCTCCCAGGGCGGCCAGCCCCCGCGTGGTAGAGGCGTAAGGGGGGGGGGTGGTCGGGAGAAAGGGAAATCCTCCTGCAACTAGGGAGCAAGACCTTCCTTCTCCTTCTGCTCTCTGGAGGGAGAGTGATTTCTGTCCCCTTTCCAGGAGAGTCTGCTGGCAAGATTTATTTAAAAAGTGATCCTGATCCCTCCAACCGCGGAAACGTGTTTATTAATAATGGGCTTTGAAGCCTCAGAAGCATGTGGTTCCAAGCACTTGTATTTCTAGTTCTTTTGTTATACGGAAAAAAAAAAAAATACACGAATGAAAATATCAGTTTTTGAAGACTTCATGCACTTCCCTCTCACTCACCCCTTCTCTATGTCTGAAGCCAGGGAAAAAGGGTAAAAGGGTTTAGTTAGACTTCATAAATTTCAAATAGGACTTTAGTATCCCTCCAGAGCCATATACTGTCGTTTTCCAGGTGCAGAGCCTAGGCTTATTCCTTAATCCTAAGGGCAGAGTCTGCCCTTATTCCTCATAATTTTAAAAATAAGCATTGCTACTGTTAAGGGGGAGAGAGGGAGCGGAGGAGAATGAGGAAGCATTTTAAATAACCCCGTCCTCATTAATTACACTAAACTACTTCCATAGGGTGCTAAACTTGGTGGACACCTTACTCCATTAAGTAAAAGACTAATTGAAAAGAACACCTAAGAAATCTAGACCGTACATACAAGAGAAAAAGACCCAAAAGACAGCGAAGTAGTATAGGTTTTATTCTTGTCTTTATTATGAAGACTTAACCAAAAAAAAAGAAAATGTTTCATGTATGTTACATAAAAAAATTCGTGTAATTCTTATAAAAGGAAATTTCTCAGCCTGACCCTGGCATCACTATGGGTGAATTATTTAACTCACTAAATTAAGGAAAATATTTTCCCAGCTCGAAAAGTGTACTCATTTCAACTCCCTCATTTAGAGGGATCATGTGACTTGGCCTACTTACATCAAGTGAAACTTCCGTTTTTAGTGTTGGGTGTTTTGTTTTTTTTTTTTTCTTTTTAGCTCAGCCAAATGTGAAAGTTGTGAATTTAGGAAAATCATTTGTAATGAAGTATGAGTCATGTTATCAAATTTATTTCACCAATGTTTCCCTCATCCCTGTGGCAAATAAAACATTGGCATTCTCTATTTTTATAGATGAAATAAGAAGTCTTGTGTAATGTTTGAGTTATAATGTTTCTGCCTTTTTCATACTGTCCATTCTTAAGTGTTACAACCCCTTCAGATTATAGCTGCAGGGTAATTAAACTATGGTTTATTTATACTAGTAGCTTTTGTATGCTAATAATAACAGGTGTGAAAAACTGGTCTTCTGAAATACTCTTAACAGTTTTGCTTATTGTGACTGATTTTTCCACTCCTTTAGTCATCTCACAGCAGAAAATATACTGAAACTAATTTGTTAAAATTTGATGTTAACACCTGACATCTGCCATTATGAAGGGAGATATACAAGTACAAACTCATTTGCTTTACAAAATCCTTGAATTAGCAAGCAGTACAGTTGTCACCAATTTGATGTCAAGATAGTTAACGGACTATAAAATTTTATACAAGCTCCAGGTATAAAATAGCTCCTTATCTTAGGGTCAACTATATCTTAAGCTGAACAGTTATCTATTTAGAATTTTAGTGTGTGATTTTGAGTAGTTTTCTGGTTTTTGTTTTTTTGAACTTGCTATAACAATCCCTTTGGTGTATGGGGAGATGAGAACATTCTTCCAAATCCAATTCTTTCAATATATGCTTTATATATACGTAAGTTGCTGAGTTCTCATTACCAGAATATGTACACAGAGAAAATGCAAGTTAGACTTTGGATACCTAAGTAAAAGGTGTTTCATAATTAGGATAAAAAGCTTTAAAATTCTTACTGTTTCCCAAAAGCAAAATCAATTACTATAAAAATACAACCACTGAAATTATCAGTCAAGAGGCAGCATAGCTTAGTGATTAAAAGCTTGCACTGAAGCCAGACAACTCAGGCAGGAAGCTATTGTCCACCACTCTTCCTCTGTGTGACCTTAGGCAAAATAATCTTTTGGCACCCCAGTGACTCTGGAAAACACCTATTCCAGACTGAGGGGTGGAGTTAGGGATGGTGTTGTACCAGTGCAGTTGTACCAGCTCCATCTAAATGTGAGAGTATAATGAGTTAGTGCATGTAAGCACATCCTGTCTGGCCTGTAAGAGCTCAAAAACTCTTACCTGTTATAATTACAGAAAAGTAATATGCCAACCTGGAGCAGTTAGACACATGCAGTGCTACAGAATAAATATTTAGCTTTTTTATTTTTTTTTTTACAGGTTTTGTTTGACAGCATCAGCATGGCTGTGTATGAGGAACGATATATGACACCAAAGCCCAGATGATCCAGAGGAAGGCCAAGATCTTTGGGATGAAGACACTTCTAGAAGGATGAGAGTGTGAGATGCACCAACATCCAGGCACTGTCCAATCCCTGTATAAACTGGTACTGATTCCTTAGTGCCATTTAGGCCACTGGAAGAACTACCATTCCTAAGAAAAGAAAAGCATGGTGAAGTTCTACCTGCTTTCCTCTAATAGCTTACATTTGTTTAGCACTGTGAAACTTTCCAAATATTTCCATTAATTCACTCAACCAATGGACATTTTACTGGGCATATAATTTAACAGTCTTTGTGATAAGCACTTAAGATACAAACCAATAAAATATAATTGCAGCTTCCAAATAGGTATATTCATAGTATAAACCAGAAAGTAAATTATAATGGACTGAAAACTGGGTTGGTGGAGGTGTTAGAGAAGGCAGGTAATTATCTTTGCTTTATATTACTAGGAAAAAGTTACATAGAGAAGGATTTGGCTAAGGTTATAGAACTAATTCTAGGCAATTAAGCACAAGTATTTCAGTTCCTAACCCCAAGCCAAAAATGTATTGATTATGTTATTCTTGCATGCTTTAATTTAAAAACAAGGACATGCCTCTGAAATGCATGACAACAGTTTTTAAATAAATGAAGGAAACAGGGAAAAGTTAGTTTAAGAATTCTCATTGGAGATCTGTCTCATAGACCTCAAAGAACCACTTTCAGTATACAGATCTTAAGGTTAACAAATACTAGGTGTTCACCGAAACACTTCCTCAACCCATTTCCTTAAGAGCCCATCAAATGTGTTGTTCTTTCTGAGGCCCCCAGGAAACTGAATCCTTAACACATTAGCAAAGGTAGATAACTGCCATCCTGGCTATAGGGGCTTGGTGCAGAAGAGCAAAGAGGCATTCATTTCATTTTTTTTTCTTTCTTTTTAATCCGAACCCTAACCCCTTTTAATTTTTTTTTTTTTAAAGATTTATTTATACAAGCACTGGGTACAGTCAGAAGCGCGAGAGGGTCTGCTGCGCCATGTGGGACCCTCCTCACTGGCGGCCAGAATCTAACTTGCATCTAACTTGCGCTGCAGAGGCTGCGGGCAGTTTCACAACCCAGTGCTCAACCGCTGCGCCACTGGGGAGACCCTCCCTTTTAATTCTTTAATGAACACCAACTATAACAAGTGCTATGATTAAAAAAAAAAAACAAATCCTACCCTCAAAGAACTAGGATACCATGAGGAAACAAAATTACTTATACCAGTAATTTGCATACATTATTTATCCTAGGAACACTTTATTCCAATTTTCCAATTCAATCTTACCTTTGCTAAAGAAAGGGAGAGCAGCCAGGCCTCATCAAGTCCATGCTTAAAATTTCTCCCAAGTACAAAAATACTATAACATACATTGTAAGATCCTCCCAGAAAAATCCTCAGATGTTCATAAATCTATGTCCTGCAGATAACTTTATTTCAGCTAATGGACATAGTATTTTGGGTAGATGACCCTTCTTGTATTGGCTATTCGAAAGCTGAATCAAATTTATGGGCCACTTGCGTGTTTTTTAAGTGTGTATCTGGCTCTTATTTGCATACCCAATCTTTTTCCTTGATTGATCTTTCTCAATTATAATGAATATTACATGTCTTGTTGGAATTTATGTAGCTTTTTCCTCTTCGAATACTTTTGGCATTAAAATGTTTTCTGTAATACCTGCAAGATTACTTTCTGTAACACCTGCAAACGTTCTGAGAGTAAGGAGGTTGTAGAAAGGGACAAATAACTCTGAATTAGACCATTTTTATTTCCTATGAAATTCGTGCCCCAAATTGTTTGTATAGAGGGATGTCTGATTGAATCACGCCCTTTATTTAATCACACATTTTATAGAATCAAAGTCTCTGAATGTATGAAATTCTCAGACATAAAGACAATCTTAAGGAAATTTTGGCGTGTTCTACAGCTCTTTCTAAACCTAGAACAGTTGCTGACTGAGTCTTAAATATAACAGAAAGAAGATTATTAGCTTGCCAAACCTCTTCCAAAAAATGTGTCAGAATTGTCTAAAGTGATGATGGGGAGGATGTAATAAGACTATTTTTCAAAATATCTTACATGCTTGTAGGAAAAGATGGTTAGAACAAAGGAATATAGACTTAGAATTTTAATAAAAATTAAGATAAGGCCAATAACATTAGAATTATCCGACTTTGGTATCTTTGATAATTAAATGCATCATTGTTAATAATGAAGATTTCAGTCAACTATGTAGCTTTTTAACTCTAAAAACAAGCACTTGTCTGACATTTGGACTTTGTGTTTGGTGGTTGCTACCTGGTAGTGTTACATATTAATCATAGGAATAATCACATATGAATCAGTCACCTCCCACATTATGTTCTGACGTTGCTCCTCTACTTACCAGTATCTTTTAATTTCACTCATTTTACAGAAACATGCTTGTTTCAGAACATTCTGTCCTTTGTTACCTTTCCAGAAATTAAAGCAATTCAAAATTCCTTGGGTTTACATGTCTTTTTTTTTTTTAAAAGATTTATTTTATTTATACAAGAGCTGGGGTACAGGCCAGAGGCACGGGAGAGTGAAGACAGACAGAGCACTGGTGAGGGGAGCAGCGGGCAAGACAGGAGAAGTCTGCCTCGCCATGTGGGAATTTCCCTGGCCGGCTGGGAACTGAACCGGTGCTGCCGAGGCTGCAAGACAGCTTCACATCGCTGCCCTCAACCCACTGTGCCATGGGGAGGCCCTGGGTTTACATATCTTTTCAATGCAAATCTTCTTACAGGAAAAATGGAATGGTGTGGGACAGGCTGCAAGGAGGCTGCAATCACATTTTAAAATAAATCTATTTTAGAATTTTGGTCATAAAGAAAAAGCAGCAGGAAGAGGGAATAAAAATGTTTACTTATAGAGTGGAAGGGAGTAGTTGAGTACCGGTACCTGCTGTTTAGAGGGAATTGCGGACAATAGGTGTTTTCCAGAGTCAAAGACAGCTTTAAAAAACATCTTGGTGTTGAAAAGACCAGAAGTTAGTAAGCAAAGCAAATAAATAAAGATTAGGATCCCCATGCATACATTTTGCTGACCTCAAGATATACTTAGGGTAAGATTTTTTGAGAGTTGTGGACTCAAAAAAAAATCTCAATTGATTAAAAACGATTGCTTTTTTATAATATACAACTTTGTCCTTAACACCAGGAGAGTGTTAAGAGTTAAACTTAGTACCAGCACTTAACACCTTCATAGAGTTAAACTTAGTACCTGCACTTTGCTTAGCTGAAGGAGCTGGGAGACACAAAATATCAATAGATAAGGAAGGGGATCCCCTTTAGAGTTGTCATGAGAGCCTGGCCACAGGCCCAGATGACCAACAGGGGACTATGGAGAATTTCCAGGAATGTAGAAACAGGGCAAGCAACTAGGCAGGAGGCAGGACACCTCCACCACAGAAGCCCACCCAAACCCAAGGTCTTAGCAGAGAACAACCTGTAGAGACCGACTCCCCCAGTCATGAATAAAAACCTGAGAAAGCCCGTCATAAAGGAGAACCGCAAAACAGGAGCAGATGACCTCTTTCCTCTTGCCAGCTGCTCTTCTCAGCAGTGTATTCAATAAACTACTTTTTTCTGTTCTCCACTCTGCCTTTAGTGAATTCTTTCACCCCCATATCTCCATCTTTCACCCCAGTATTAACCACCACATTTAACCTCTCATACAAACCTAATTTCTAAACTTATTCAAGGACTCTCTTATGTAAGAATTTATAATCTCAAATTCATGAATAAAATTTCCAAATTCCACTGTCCCGCCTATGTGCAATTTTATAATAGTATGGAGTGGGGATGACATTAGGCCGTGGGGGGAAAAAAAAAAACACATGCAGCTTTGCTCTTGGTAAAATTAGTATATTTAAGAATGATGTGGCATTTCAGCTTTAAGTTATATATGATGATGGAGAAAGTATTAAGATCCACAAATGGTTAACATTAATGCATTTATTGCAATCAGTATCTACTAGGAATTTCTATAAAAATACCAAGCTGCTTATTTTAATGTGAACTCACTCTACTATCATTTATCAACTGGTAAATTATAAAAAATAGGAAACACTTAAATGGTTAAGAATATACCCAAAAAAAAGGAATTAAAAAGAGAGGATTTGGAAAATCCACAGATTAAATATAGTCCCTGTATAATTGAGAATTTACTCTACTCAGAATAATTAGGGGAAAACATAGAGGGAATGACAGCAATTACAACAAGGGGATTTTAATATGAAATGAAATTAGAAACTACCAGGAAAAGTGCTGTTTGTAATAAATAGAATTCAATATCAGCTACCTTTTTTTACTTGAACCACAACCAGGGGAATTATAGAACTTAGGCATTATTATAAGATAAAGTCACATATAAATTAATTCCATAGAAGTAAGTCCAAGAAAAATGGGCTTCAGGATGATAAGACTTTATCCAAATAGAAGATAGAGCAGTTGAGTTACTCTAACAAAGTTCTTAAAAGTAAAACTAGACCCGTAAAGGATGTGGTCATTACACCAGCCGATAAATAGGGATGTTATTTATTTATGTTATTTAAGACATTAAAATGATATACACAATATTCAGAGCTAAAAAGAGATGTGGTTTTAGAGACATATGATATTTCATTTTTTGATTCATTTTCTGATTTATATTATGCCATATGGCATTCATAGGTTTGATCAGTGAAAAAAGCATTTGCTAAAACTTTAGAACAAATGATATTCTAATGCACCAGCTACTACTTCTCAGCATGTGGAATGTTTTTATGCAATAATGGTATATTAATCATACTGTGCAAAGTTCCATTAAAATCAATGATTGTTTACTTCATGAGTTATACATAATAAAATATTGTTCTGCAAAGAGCAGCTTTCATCCTAAGGAAGACTCCATACCTATTATAAATTTTCATCTAGGGAAACTCCCCCTTTTGTTGGAAATGCAACAGTATACGTAGAGATAAAGAATCACAATACTTATAGAAAGCATCCTTGTTATTTTTTAAAAGCCACTGAGTGCTTAGCATGTGCTAGATGCACTTTAAGTGCATTATCTTAATTTTTGAACGTGGTCTTACAGGTAAGAAAACAAAGACGTGAAGTAGTTTGGTGAATTGGCCAAGGGCCACATGGAGGGTGAATGGCAGAGTCTGGGACTCATCTCCCAAAGTCTGAGCACCTAACCCCTCCCATACTACTTATCCAATCCAAGCTGCCTGGGTGTCTAGAGTTAAGGTGACATCTCTTGGCACTTAAAATAGGCTGGTCCATAGTTTCAGGCAGGATCCCCAGGAACAGACCTTCAGACAAGTGTACATGTAAATATATTTATTAGGAAGTATTTCCAGAAAACACTAGAAGTCAGTGGGAAGGTGAGACTATGAAGGGAAGGAGACCAGTCTAGAGTGTGATAATAAACCAAGTCCTAAGATAGGGAACTTGGGCTCAGTCCTGCAGAGATGCTAAGGAGACAGCTTAGGTCATATTTCTGAATGCTCCCTATTAGGTAACAATGGAGCTCTACACTCATACCTTCTTAGCCATCAGGCATTGGTTCATGGCTCTCCCGGAGAAGACAAATTCCTGGGACTACTCAGCCCTCACTTGGGCAGACACAGAAATTTCTACAGCCTAAGGACAGTCTCCCTAGGTGAGCCTTGCAATGCAGGTTGAGAGTAAAAGTACTGGGGAAGGAGCTAGTTAAAAAAATCAGAAAAGGATAGAAAGGGTATAAATGCAACCTTGATAGGGCCTCCACTGGTGGCGAAGGCGGTTGAGCGCAGTGCTGTAAAGCTGTCCACAGTCTCTGCAGTGCCTGTTCGATCCCGGCCGGCCGCGAGGGTCCCACATGGCGCAACAGACCTCTCCTGTCTCGCCCGCTGCTCCCCTCACCAGTGTATTTCATCAGTCTGCCTGGTCTGTTCCCCACTCTGTCTCTGGTGAATCCTCTCACCCTCCCGTGCATCTGGCCTGTACTCCGGTTCTTGTATAAATAAATGAATGCAACCTTGATAGGATGTTGTTACTGTCATTTGTCTATGGCTGTTTTTCACTAGATTTTTTTTTTTAAAGTTGCATGAATAAAATACAAGTTAAATGTTTAGAAAGGAAAAGTTAATAATCTATTCCTCATAATTGAGAATGTCCCTAGTACATAAACTTAAACTTATATTTCTGTAGATTTTTTTTTACAAAAATGTGAACATATTATCTGTTACTCTGAAATATGTTTTTTTTTTCCAGGTTAAAATAGATATACTGAATATCTTATGAAGCCAATGTATGTATACACATTAATCTTATTAATAGAAATATGAAAATGTGTGGAATGCATCATCCATAGCTTATGCAACCAATTTTCTATAGATAGTGGTTTGCAATTCTTTATCACTAAATTACACTTAACCTTCTCTTCTTTCAATTCCCTCCTTAAGTGATCTGTCATTCCCAATACTTTAAACAGTATACTATCTATATGCTAAGGACTCTCAAATTTATGTTGTCATCTCTGCTGAGGTTCAGACTCATACAACTGCTTAATTGTCATCTTCACTTGGATATATTAGATATCTCAAACCTAATATAAAAATAAATATATATGTATATATAAATATAAATCAAAGAAGACACACAGATGACCATCAAGCACATGAAAACTGCTCATCATCACTTATCACTAGGGAAAACCACAATGAGATACCATCTCCAATCTGTGAGAATGGTTCATATCAAAGTCCAGAAACAAGTGTTGGCGAGGATGTGGAAATAAGGAAGCCCTCATATACTGTTGGCAGAAATGTAGACTGTTCCAGTTGCTATTGAAAACAATATGGAAATATCTTAAAATTTTAAAAATAGATCTACCACACAATCCAGCAATTCCACCCCTATCTACCTGCAGAATGCAAAAGCGCTAACTCTAATTAGAGGGGATATATGCCCTCCTATGTTCATTGCAGAGCCATTTACAAAGACCAAGCTGTGGAAGCCACATAATGACAATCTACTCAGGTATAACAAAGATGAACCCTTGCCAATTGTGGCCCGTGGGTGGAACACTTGGTGGAATATGGAGAAACAAATCAGGCAAAACCAAACCAAAATATATAAATCAAAAAACAAATGAAATACATATATGTGTGAAAAAAAAAAAAAAAGAAATACATATATGTGTGTGTATTTTGTATATGGTTGTTTTTTGTTTGTTTGTTTGTTTTGTGGGCCCCTCACTGGCAGAGGGGGATCGAACCGGCACTGCAGAGGCTGTGGGCAGCTTCGCAACCCAGCGCTCAACCACTGCGCCACCAGGGAGGCCCTCCAGACTCTTCTTGCCTTAGATGGCATGTTTCACTTTCTCTTCTGTCACCTCTCTCTTCCAATGTCAGTTCTCTGTTCTCTGTTTAAAAGCTTGGAAAGTCCGTCCTCGACTACCATGATGAAGACAGTCCTCTTTCCCCAACAG